TGGTCCTGGCCGTTGAACCCAGAGCCTTACATACTGTAGGCAAGTTCTGTACCACTGAGCTCCAGCCCCAGTAAAATACTTTTAGAAGAGTGTATATTACATAGAAATAGACTCAGTTTCCTCCCAAACACTCCCATGGCTCTATTTGACCCATAAGGAAAGTGACGCCTTTCCTTCCACATCGGTCAGAAGAGGTAACCTGGTCAGAAGAGGTAACCCGCGCAGCACACCAGGTTCCCACAGTCCCACGTGTTCTCTTTGACCTTGTGGAAGTTCCTTGACGCCAGGGAACACTATGCACTGAGCTGTTGTCTCCCTGAATAGTAAGCAGCAGTTTCCAAGATTAGCATGGAGGCGACAGTGCTGGTGGAGAGATTCCTGGCTCCTTTCTGCAAAGTGTCAGGAGGAGAATTGAATTAACAGGTATTTATCTAATGAGCCATCCTGCCGGCATAGAATAAGGTACCGCTGCCTGGCCTTGACATTTACAGCCATCCTTTTGAGAAGGAGGAGGGCATCCGAGTTCTAAATCGTTGTGCAGAACAGCGCTTCTCAGCCCTGGCTGTACGTTGAGTCACCAGGGAGCTTAAGAAACCACATCCTGGAGGTGCCAGTTTCACTGCTCTGGGGTGTGGCCTGGGACCCAGGATTTTTAAGTCTCCTGGGTAATTCTAGTGGGTAGCCAAAGTCGAGGCCCTGTGGTTTAGTTTATGTATTCTGTCTCAGGAAAGGGAAAATAATTATAATCTGTGTTAGAATTACTAGAATTTTTGGGTTTCTTAAAGCACAGAGATCAAAATGCTGGGATGCCAGGGGGTGGTGGCACATACCTGGAATTTCCATGACTTGGAAGGCTGAGGCAGGCGGGTCTCAAGTTCAAGGACGGCCTGGGCAACTTAGTAGACTCTGTGTCAAACAAAAAATACAAAGAGCTGAAGATGTGGCCCAGTTGTACAGTGCCCCCTGGATCCAACAATCCCCAGACCCCCATGCCCAACCCCCCACATTCATTCATTCATTCTCTCTCTCTCTCTCTCTCTCTCTCTCTCTTTTCTCTCTCTCTCTCTCTCTCCCCCCCCCTCCCCCTAAGATGAATTAGGGCTGTTAGAATAATAGACTTATGGGGGGTAATAAGGATAAATGTCTCCAGTATATTCTTCCACATCAGCTAAGCTTGCCAACCCCCCCATTATTATCACGCCTTATTCCATAATAATTGTTAGAAAAAATAATAAATGCCCTAACACTTGAATTTGCCAGTTGCTCTTTACAACCTTCTTCCATTTACTCTTCACACTGGGAAGGCTGCCCAAGAAACAAGCCCTTTCTTAAGCTACAGGTGGAAGTTGATCGGTTCAGCTGGAATCAGGCGCCCATCCACTGGGTCATAGGATTCTACCAGCTGCGGGGCACAGGTGCCTGCCTGCCTGGCCCCCTCTGCCTGCAGCCACAGCTGTCTTAAGAACTGCTGTTGACTAGATAGGTTCCTTCACTTCCCTATGTCCTGTGCGGAGGCTGTCCATCATTAGAGATGAACAGAGATGCAGAAAGAAAGGAGCTTGGGTGCTGAAGGCTGCCTGGATGCCTGGGGAGGGGTGGGGGGGTGAGAGGCGAGGTGGAGGGGTCATACTACTTGGGAATCAGGGCCCTGCATTCTTACTTTGATCCTTTTCTGGAATCCACTCAGGTTCTTGTCATGCCATTATGGTTCTACCTTGGGCCTGTTGCAGTTCATGAGAACACAGTTTATTTCACAGTGGCCACATTTTAATCTCTTTGATGAGTTTGAAATAGAGCCTTGTTTTCCTTGGAGGCTCCTCCACAAACCCTGCAGTGTCAAGTTCATATTCATAGGTGTATTTCTCTTCCGCTTGTGACACTGATCCAAGATAGTTTGGTTCTTACTGGTTTCAAGGGGTGGTACTTTTTGACTTTGTACCAGATTCTGGGGCTCTCCTGATGATCCCCATGGTGATCTTTCCAGGTGAGAATAGCTAAGTTCCAAGTGGCTGGTGGCCAATACACATCCGGTCTTGCACAAACAAGCTCAGGGCTTGAGTCAGAATCAAAACACAGGTCTTCTGAATTTTGATTTGAGTGCTTTGTGTCTTCTGTCCAATGAATTTATTTTATTTCTCCACGGTTTCTTTTGTAGGGGTTCAGCTGTTGCAAAAATAATTGGTAATAATGTCAAGAAACTACAGAAGTTTGCCTCCATAGTCAAGATGTGGGTCTTTGAGGAAACAGTGAATGGGAGAAAACTGACAGACATCATAAATAATGACCATGAAAATGTCAAATATCTCCCTGGACACAAGCTGCCAGAAAATGTGGTAAGACCTTGGGGTGAAAAGTACATTTGGTTGATTCTGCAGGTTCTGTCCGACTGAGTAGCACTCTGGACCTAGACGTGGGAAAGCTACTTTCCATTTTCCCGTTGTGTTCTACTGCCAGTGACTTGGTTAGTATTGGTTTTCTTGACTCTGAAAATGGGTTTTGTATTAGTTTTCTCTGGCTGCCATAATGAAGTGCCACAGACTGAAATTAATTAATTAACTAATTAATTTTAAATTTTGGGGTGCACTCAGCTACTGAGAGACAGACATCCCCAGCCCTATTTTGTATTTTATTTAGAGACAGGGTCTCACTGAGTTGCTTAGTGATTTCACTGTTGCTGAGGCTGGATTTGAACTCGGGATCTTCCGGTCTTAACCTCCTGAGCCTCTGGGATTACAGGTGTGCACCACCACAACCTGCTAATTTTATTTTTTTATTTTGGTACTAGAGATTGAACCCAGGGGCACTATTGAGCCACATCCTCAGCCCTTTTAAAATTTTTAGAGACAGGTTCTCACTAAATTGCTTAGGGCCTCATAATTTGCTGAGACTGGCTTTAAACTTGTAATCCTCTTGCCTCAGCCTCCTGAACCACTGGGATTACAGGCAGGCACCACCACACCTGGCTGAAATTTATTTTCTTACAATACTGGCAGTTTGAAATCTGAGATCACAGTGTGAGCAGGGTTGGTTTTTTCCTAGGTGTCTCCTTGTAGATGGCTGTCTTCTGACTCTCCATGTCATGACTGCCTCTTCCTATGAGGACAGCAGTCCTATTAGATTATGGCTTACCATGCGGACAACAGTTGGAGTCCATTACCTCCTTAAAGACACTGTTTCCAGGCACATTCTGAGGTTCCAGGTGGGGGTTGGGACGTCAACATATGAGTTTGCAGGGTTCCATAGTATAGTCCATAATAAACTTCTTCCTTGGTGTTCAAAGTACGGTCACATCAGAGCTGGAGTCACAGCCTTGCCTGTGGCTGTTGGTGTCTCCTATAGCTCTTGATGACCCTCCCTAAGTGCATGTGATTTTGCTCAGCTTGCCGGGGGCATCTAATTAAAACCGGGGTCGAGGCCCAAATTACAGATGAAGATAGAAGCAAATGAGAAAGTGTAAGGTTGGTAGTTTAAAATTCAAGCTTATTAGGTCTGGAAGAGAAAAGTACAGGTTATTTCCTGTCCTCGTTCCCTTGGTTTGCAGAGGAAGCAGAAAATGAACATGGGGAGAGGAAAGGAGGGTGCCCACCCTGCTGCCTGCTGGAGGGAGTTTATGAACTTCTGTGGTCAGATTCACCCCTCAGCAGCTTCCTGAAAACCAGACTGCTGTAGCTGCCTGATTCCTATGACTTACCTGAGAGGCCATCTCCTGGGTTAACGAAGTCCCCTTTGCTGTGTCTCCACAGTCCTTCATGAACATGTCCAGGGCATGCAGAGCAGGGTTGGTTGTGGGCCCAGAAAGGGGAGAAGGATGACATTGCTCTCCTCAAGGAATTGAGCAGGGAGACCAATTTGTAAACTAATAAATGTCGGGGAGTTGGAGGTGCCCAGGCCTAGCTTACTGAAGATTTTTATTTGGCTTTTAACTATATAGTGTTGGTTGGTGTCAAGCGCTGTGCTGAGCATAGACTGTCTTGTTTAATCTTCTTAAGGGCCCTCTTTGGTGGGTGCTGTTACTTTATTCCTGTTGTGCTGATGATTACGGTTGTGGAGGCGAAGAAACCAAGACTTGGGCAGATGAACTTGCCCAAGGTTGTGAGCCAGGGCCACATTGGATCTGCTTCCCAGAGGACTCACTGCTGAGCCTGCTGATCTTCTAGGCAATGACAACTCTCTCCTCTGTCACTGAACTAGGGTGAACCAGCATTTCCTTGCAAGTACAGGGAGGAAGGATCCCCCCCTTGGACTGTGAACATGCCTAGTTGCAGAATCCCAGGGTCACAGGGAATGCACAGTCCTTTACTCCCCAAAAGGCTTGTATTTAACCTTTTTTTGTTCTTGCAAGTTGAAGGATGAATGAGACGTGCGTTTCCATCAACACAGGGTTGCTATTTATGATGTCTGCCAGTTAATGAACTGGCTGGAGATTGTGAGTCTTTTTAGTTTGGAGCCCCAGGATGCTGCCCACCTCACCCTTCTTCGGGTCCACTTTCATAATGTGACCCTGTCCCCCATAGGAACCTTCTCTATCAGTGACTTCACCATGGCATTGCCTGCTCCTTGGAAGCTGGGCCGGTCTGAGTGTGTGATTTCCCTTTAGACCTGAATGGAGAGCATACTTCCTTCCTGTAGTGACAGCAAGACACAAATTGTTGATCTATTTTATAGCTCTCCATCCACAGCCTGTGTTTAGAGCTCATCCAAGTATGGGGCTCTTCTGCCATCATGCTCCGGCTTCAGCCGCTTCAGCGTGACATCAGGATTTATGATTACAGTGTCCTTTATGAAATATAGTAGTCATTGCCTCTCATCTTTGTCTTCTAAGCTTTGCCAGCTTTTTTTTTTTAAACTGCTCTGCTGAGATGCAATCCACAGGCCATACGATTCAGTGGTTTCTAGTATATTCACATTGTTGAGCAACCATTGACATAGTCAATTTTTAAAACATTTTCATCACACTGAAAAGAGACCGTACCTTTTAGTAGTCACCGCCAATGGACTCCTATGGCTCCCCAGCCCTGGGTAACTGCTAAACTACTTTCTATCACTAGAGACTTTTTTTTTTTTTTGGCAATGCTGGGAATTGAACCCAGGCCTCACATATGCTAAGCCAGCGCTCTACCACTGAGCTACATCCCCAGCCTCATTTGCTTAGTCTTCACATTTCCTATCAATGACATCATGCAATATGTGGCCTTCTGTGACTGGCTTCTTTCACTTAGCCTGTTTTCAAGGTTCACCTGCGCTATAGCATGTTGTCAGTCAGTACTTGATTCCTTTTTTTTTTTTAGGTGTGAATACTATCCTTTGGTATGTGTCTTAGTTCCATTTTGGATTGTTATAACAGAATACTACAGACAAGATAATTTATAAAGGAAAGAAGTTTTTTAGCTCTTGGTTCTGAGAAGTCCAAGGGCAGCATCTGGTGAGAGTCTTCATTCTGTGTCTTAACATGGCAGAAGGTGAAAGGACCAGTGAGTGTGTGCAAGAGACAAAGCACATGGGCAGACTCACTGTATAGCCACCCTCTTTTGCAGGAACTAACCCACTCCCATGTAACAATATTAATCTGTTTGTGAGGGCTCTGTCCCAGCAGCCCCAGTACCTCTCACTAGGCCTCACTCCCAACACCAGTGCATTGGGAGTCCAGCTTCCAACACATGCATTCTAGGGCAAAAGCACTCAAACCATGACAGTACCATATTTTGTTTATCTATTCATTAGTTGACAGACCTTTGGGTAGTTTCCAGTTATTGGCTATTATGAATAATATGAATATGCTATTGTGAACCTTTATGTACAATATTTTGTGGGAACATGTTTTCAGTTATTTTGAGCATATACTTAAGAGTTTTGGGGTCATATAGCTGTTCTGTGTTTAGCTTTTTTTTTTTTTTTAGTCCTAGGTATTGGAATTCAGGGCCTCTCAACCAGTGAGCCACATCCCAGCCCTATTTTTGTATTTTATTTAGAGACAGGGTCTCGCTGAATTGCTAGAAGTGCCTTGCCATTGCTAAGGCTGGCTTTGAACTTGCGATCCTCCTGCCTCAGTCTCCTGAGTGATCAGGATTACAGGTGTGCGCCACTGTGCCTGGCTGCCTTTAATTTTCTAAGAAACTGCCAGACGGTTTTACCAAGTAGCACCACCATTTTATATGACCACAGTGATATACAAGAATTCTTGTTTCTGTACATCCTCTCCAGAATGTGTTATTATCTGGCCTTTTAATCCTAGCTATCCTGGTGGGTGTAACATGGTTTCTCATTAATAGTTTTGGTTTTCACTTACCTGATGGCTGACAGTATTGAGCATCTTTCCATGTGCTTATTGATTGGTGGTGTACCTTTAGAGCAGTGTAGATTCAGATCCTTTGCCCTTTTATAAAATTGGATTGTCTTTTTTTTTAAACCAAGAATGGAACCCAGGGGTGCCCAACCACTGAGCTATATCTCCATCCCTTTTTAGTTTTTATTTTGTGACAGGTCTTGCTAAGTTGTGAGGCTGGCTTTGAACTTACAATCCTCCTGCCTCAGTCTCCTAAACTGCTAGGATTACAGGCATACACCAGCATGTCTGGCTTAAAATGCATTGGCTTCTTATTATTGAGTTGTATGTCATCTTCATATATTCTAGGTACAAAGTCCCTTTTTAGATATGATTCACAGTACTTTTTCTCTTCTGTGAGCTGTCTTGTCACTTGCTTGATGGTATCCTTTGAAGCATGAAAGTTTTTAATTTTGAAGTCCAATTGACAATTTTTTTCTGACCTGTTCACACTTTCTTGCAAAGGTTCACATTCACTGATGTTTCCTTAGCACCTAGAATAGTCCTGGCATTATTTGTCATCTGACTAAGTGCCGGGCATAGTGGAAATGGTGAAGAAGTACAAACCAGCATGAAGAGTTTTGTTTTGATGTTTTAGGTGGTATCTCATGGGAAATTGTTATTCTAAGATCTTTTTTTATTTTTATTTTTTTAAAAAATTTTTTAGTGATATGTGGACACAATATCTTTATTTTGTTTGTAGGTGGTGCTGAGGATGGAACCCAGTGCCTCACGTGTGAGGCGAGTGCTCTGCCACTGAGCCACAAACCCAGCCCAAGACCCCCCCCTTTTTTTTTTAAATGACCATTTATTTATGGGTCATGGGGTTGGCATAATATCTGTTAATTTTAACTGGAAAGCTTCTGAGAATTGGAGTATTAGTTCAGTGGAAAGGCATGGTGTTAACTGTTTTCCTCCCTGGGTTTTAACTTTTTTATTTTATTTTCACTAGAGTCGCAGTCCTTAGTAGTGTTATTCAAATTTTAGTGTTCATCAGAATCACCTGGATAG